GAAATTTTTGGGGTACAAACTAAGGTTGTATTACTATTGAACATACTTAGTAGTAGTTTATTCTGATATTTTACATTATATTTTCTAAGTCATGTTACTTAGTTTCATATATGCATTGCTGAGAATTTTGTTTCCATCCACAGTTGTCCGTTGTCAGCAACGGTAACATAAAAGTGAATGATTCACCTTCTTGACATATTCTTATTGGCAGGATAAGGTACATAGTATCTGAGAATGTTTGTTATTCTTATTTCTAAGTACATCTCTCTTCATTTGATGGATTTCTTATGCCTAATTTTATTGATGTTCCCTCCTTCAGCATGACTGTGTAATAAGATGAAATGCCGCATATTTGGCTAATTATATTCATGGGGTTACTGGGACAAATTAAGGCCCCTTCCTCCTTCCATTTCGAGAAATAAGAGGAGGCTCTCAACTTCAATTTGCAAGTGGTTTTTAATTTGTTAAAGCTTTTTCTGGCCGCCACATGGTGAGGTAGAGAAACAAGTATGTTCAAGCATTGTTGGTTTTATATCAAACAATGGCTCATATTGTTCTGACCTGTGGGTGTATAAATATTGCTTTGTTTCAGTGGAGACACAGGAAGGAATACTTTTAAACTGAGCAAGAGGTTGTTTAACAAAGTTTCCATGAACACTGTTTCCTGGGTATATGCTACCATAGATTCCCCGTCATCAGTTCATCGCATCATGCTCCCTTGATTCAGAGTGATATGGTTGTTTCTATATTAAGAGCTACTTAATTTTTCTGTTTATGGTAAGAATTTGTATCACTGCATGATTCCACAAGATACAACGGGGCTAATTAAAGCCTGAAGGTAACAAAGTGTTCTTTTGAATAATATACACAATTACTCTTTGGAGCGCCTTTTGTGATCTGAAATAGTTTTTCTCTTGGCTAAATTATTTTGTCTCTAAACTTTTTCCATGAAATGCACATTAATTTTTTTGTGATGATCAAAATAGTTGTTTTTTTACTGTCTCAATGGTTGTACTTCGGATCAGATGTAAGTTTTAGCTAAGTATTTATGTTATGAAATGTGAAAAATTATTAAATTTTAGCTACGAAAGCACTGTTCCGAAGTTCATTACTTTTGGTTATGTTGTGTATTTGTTCCAACTTGGTGGACAGGCCCTTGCTATGTACAAAATAAACTAAAAGTTTCCATGAAAGATAGATATTTGTGTCTATAAATTGTTGTGAACAAAACAATTTGCTAAAAAGCCTCAAGTTATGCAACAAATTTCATCATAACTATTTATTACTCTATTGCTTGGACCATAGTCTACATAGTCGCGACTAATCGATGGGCGCGGCGTGTCGCCGCGCGGGCTAAGCTAGTAGTGGATACTATGTGCAAGAAATACAGAATTTTGTTATTTTTGTGTACCTCGCATAAAACATATTTTGGCATTAAACTTTACAAAAAGTAGTATACATCCATAGGTATGTGTGTATTCTTTGAAACATGAAATTTGAAGAAAAAATATTCAAATTTCGGGTTCCATGGAGTTTGAACCCTATTAGTAATTTCCGGTTAATAATTACTAGTATCATATTGACTTCATAATTAACATTTCCTTATAAAGGCCTAATTTCAAATTTTGCACCGGGCCCCAGATTCTTAGGTACGGCCCTGGTTGATACTATATATGTACTACTAGCTAGCTACCTAGGTAGGATAACTGATGAATGAACATGTAATATGCATGCATAGTTTAGTTTAGTGGATGTTTAATTAGTCATGATCGATAAGAACTAGTTAGTGTGTGGTTAATGTATGCATGTGAAGAAACAATGTGTATTGATTCAATTATCTCATCGAAATTAATGTGGGACAAAAACGTGTTTTTATATATTGATAATAAATTAGGCTAATTTTTTGTTGCTTTTCAAAATAATAATAATGGTGTTCGGACAATGCACAACGCCCGTGAAGATTTATCCCATTACTGACGTTACAACATATCACACACCATAGGTGTGTGTGATATTTCCGTCGTGTAATTATATCCAACGCTATAGGTATATAAAATAGTGTTGACATGGGCTCCAATGCCAGCACTATATTTTAACAATAACGCCATATTGGTGGCGTCGAGTGTCCACGTCAGCAAGGCTCTTTTGGCACGGCATAGTTAGGCTTTTTGCACTAGTGATTGGTTCTACTTGAGCTGCACTAACCACCCCAACTAGCCCGCCTGATATGATTAGTCACGCCTTTTTCCCTCATTTCTTCCTTCTTGTTTTCATTTTTCCTTTTTTTCTTCTTTCGGTACGATTTGTTCATTTTTTTTTTCCTTTTTTCATTTTCTTTTTCCTTTTCCTTTCTTTTTTCTTCTTTTTTTATTTTCCAATTTTGTGAATTTTTTTCAAATTCGTGAACTTTTTTTCAATTTCAATGAACTTTCAGATTTGTGAACTTTTTCTTAAAATCATAGAACTTTTTTCAAGTTTGATGATTTTTTTTCAAATTCATGAACTTTTTATTCGAAATCGATGACTTCTTTTGAAATCGATGAACTTTTTTTCAAAATCGGTGAACTTTTTTTGAAGATTGGTGATTTATTTCAAAAGCGATAAATATTTTTTTAATTTGTGCACTTTTTTGGAAATTGATTAACTTTTTTCATATTTATGAACTATTTCTTAAAATCAAACTATTTTTCAAAAATACGGATGACCTTTTTAATAATTTGTGAGCTATTTTTAACCCTGCGAACAGATTTTTTTCCACAAATTTTTGAAATACTAAAAAATGAACGTTCTGGTTTTTCCCCCTCTGAACCAAGTCTGAGCTGGGGCTGGTTGAGCGACCGAATTTTTCATTTTGAGGCCCATTTGGGCGCGCACATGAGCGCCAGCAACACAAGCGCCGACCCTAAAAGAAAAAAATATTCAGGCCAGCCGAGAGAACAGAGGATTGCTCCCCACTTCCGCCTTCTACAGGCAGATGCGTACAAACACAGTGCAAACATAGATACTTTGCATCAGGCTCTTCTTCAAAATCAATCTTTTTAACTTGTATTCTTGACCGCTTAACTAATATGCAGGCTATGACCAGAAATTGCGACTTTCATCTGGCAGTGTGTTTCATCGTAAATTAACGTAGAGCTACCAATAGCGATGCAGCTCATTGGGAGGCATGTCTGGTTGATCCAGCCCCATGATCCGTTTGTGATCCCACTCCATGTGGAATTTAATTTTTTTGAGCAATAAAACTTGGTGATACCCCTCAAAAAGGAAAATATGGCGTCATCCGCAACACCACAACACCTGCAGAAGCGTTGCAGTGTGGGGCAGGCAAGCGGCCTAGCGGGCAAGCCCGCCCCACTTGCATCCTTAGTTGGAGCACAAAATGCACTAGAACTTCAACAATCACATATAACTTGCAATAGTGTATCAAAAGGGAAATAGGAACATAACCAAAAATATTCGAATGGAACCAATGCTTGTACTAATAAACTACTCCCTCCGTCCCGAAATACTTGTCGAAGAAATGGATAAAATTGAATGTACCTATAACTAAAATACGTCTAGATTCATCCCTTTCTCCGACAAGTATTTCCGGACGGAGGGAGTATCTTGACTTCCTGTAGTACTTTCCAGAGCTCCAGGCCGAGATCACCTTGTACACCACCCATCTGTGGACAGTATTTAGCATAGCATGTTCCCTTTAAATAAAGAAAAGAAAAGGATAAGATTACACGCAAATGTTTGCTCAAAAATACATATGCGAATAAATGCTAATCTCTTTCTCTAGTTTGAACTAATAACCCAAACAAGGTTTCTTTGCTCTATCAAAATATCTGCATGTTCTGTTTTGAAGACTGAATTTCCTCTGGCCCGCTTTTTCTGCACTGCATGAATCTTTTTTGTTCGAATTGACGCACTGTCTGAATCTTCAGATTCAAAAATCACTGGTCCGTATTCAGTTACAAGTAGAAAACATTTGTGACTCTGAAAAAACGTAACGTCTGACGTTATTCCCCTCCATCAACAGGCAACCAATAATTGTCATAAGATGTCATAATGAATCTGCCAACTTCATGAGCAAATACGTGTGATGCCCACTAGTTATTGAAGTGGTTGTTTGGATAGCGAGTAATTACCCTCAGTTTTCTCAAAACCTGTTCTAAGAATATTTTGTAGAAAACCAGTTTTTACCAACAATCTGTTAAGTAATCAATTGTAGAAAATTCTGTTTGCATTTAGAAAGCCTTAAACAACGCATGCAGAGAACCACGTCTGCCTACCTTCACGAAAAAAGTAAAAAACTGGGTGGATGTGATTCCATTTGCATGCAGGTGGGGCACATTGGATAAACGCACCAGTTAGAAACTAGGAACTAGGTTGTTGGAGTTAGGTTAAACGCGATACAAAAACGACTAATAGTCGTTTTTCCAAAAGCTCAGTTTTTGCATGTTACGAGAACCAGTTTTGGATATCTTTGGGGTAGTTAGAGAAAACCAAACAGAGTTTTAGTTTTTTACGCTGCTAGACGAGTTTAAGAAAAACTAGATCTCTAAATACTCGCTAACCAAATAACCCCGAAATGTCTTTCATGGAACTCATAAATCGAGTTTACGGAAAACAGGTTATGTTATTCTTATATAAACCAAGCTTGGTCTGAGGCATAAAATCAGGTTTACTTGTACCTACAAACCAAACAATTGACTTGGTGACTTACTTACAGTATTACCCTTCTTTGTCAGTCAGATTATATACCCACTTTGATTCAGCACAACCTTCTGTAAAGGATGATGGTTGGAACAAAAAAATAAAGATCTAGTCAGAACATATTGAAATGCCAAGTTAGTGCATTTACAGAAACAGGAGATCAAAAGATAAAGTGGGGTTATTATCTCATAAAAGATACAGAAAAGTCATACACTCATATGCATACTAATCACAGAGGGGTCATTGTCTAATATAAGAAAGGACAGTGTACAAACATCATATGCATACCATAGAACAGCTTAAGGCAGATAATTTTCAAACCACAAAAGACTCAGGTCCACTTGATCATCACTCATATAGGAGTAAGTGGTCTCCAGGAAGGTTGTAACCTCAGGGTGTTGATCAAGCTCAACGAAAATGTAATCATCAATCAGTGGAACATCAAACTCTGAGGTAGGGTCTTTCCTGAAAAGTTCAGCAATGTGTGGGTCTCTACCCTTAGTGAAGTCACATTGTCCATTGAACTTCTCATCTACAGGATGGATGAGTTTCATTCCCAGATACTCACAAGCAGAGCATCCACCTAATTACCAAGCAGACACCAAAAGGAAACAATGATTAGCTTGGATTGCAAGGCAAGAATGCATTGAGCAACAAAAGTTGTATTATATTTCGTATTGAATGGAGCATATAATACAAAATTTCCTTGGCATCTCAAAATCAATTGGAATGAAGCTGAAGTAAACAGTTCCTATACAGAATTAGATGTTTCAGCAAAATGCGCTTGCCACACAATTAAATGATTGATCTAAGAAAAACACCTTTCATGCTAAATGAGTAAATCTGTTGCAAATACTCAACTTTAGAAACTCTTAGTCTGGTCCAATGTGAAAGTTCAGTTGCTACTCAGGGCTATCACATAAACCAAACTCAAAAACTCCCTGTTTAACCCAAAATTAATTTTAGTGCAAGTGTGTAACCCAAAGTTAAGTGTTTTGCACGTTTAATTCATGTTTCCGCCCTACTCTCTTTTAGTATTAAAAAATTCATTCCGTAAGATGAGATAATAAATAAAGAGGGTCCGCGCAAAAACTATACGTTACTTGCCAATGTTAATTTCAGATAACAATATCATGTCTAAAAACCCAGTTAAGTGTAATATGAGAATTCAGTCATATGAATGAACTAATGAAAAACAAGGAAAACTTGGCATACCAGTTCTTCCTGATAATGTCACGGGACAGCACAAGGTCACATCATCCACATCTTGAAGTGAAGCACGAATCTCAGCAAAAAACAGCTTAGGCTGATTAGGCTCGCTCTCAAGAGATGCCAAGAAGTTGACATGATAATAGCTGTCAGGAACCAAAGTAACCAAACTTTTGCCGCATAGTAGATGAATCTGATAAAGTTCCTGAATAATGACAATTAACCCATGTCAGAGATGCAGCAGATTGAAGGAAAACCAAAATATAAATCAGCCATTAGGCAAACGGGAATCAGCAATATTACCCCAAACTGGAACGCAAGTTTCTTGAGTGCGATGTTTACTATACCAAGGCAAAACTCCTGATCCCCCTTGAAGGCATGCATCTTGATCCTTAACGCTCTATATGCTCCTTGGCTTAGGCTCGGCGAGCTTGGTGGCGGCTGTGTGAGAGCTAAACTGGAAACAACCAACTTGACAAATTCAAGCACTATAAGCGATGAATTGCTTTGCGGCCTGAGGTCAGATAATCCAAAAGCTAATGGGTGACCATGAATTCCATGCTTTGCAAGAAAAGCATCTGTAGGAGCACAGTTGACAATGAAAAAGAATTGAGCCTCGCGAGCTGCGTCACTAGGGAGATGCGCTGCCAGAATGGCAGCCCTGAAGGCGTCGTCCATGCGGTTTGTGTGGAAAACACCTTCTCTGTCAACAAGCACGGCGGCATGGTGAAGGTTGCCATGGCTTCTGCTCAGGTAGGACATGGCCTCTTCAGCAGACAGGGTGGGCGCGTACGCCCTCATGAAGGCGACGAGGGCATCGAGGGAGCGGCGAGCCAGGCGGAATATGGCCTTGCAGCTCAGCATCATGGGCTGACGAACCTCCTGGCTCGAGGAAGCGGGGAACACCGCATCGTGCCAGAGACAGTTGGCGAGGATGTTGCAGACGGGGTCGTGGAGGCCGTAGGCGTAGCCCGCGAGCAGCATGCCGCGCGCGTGCCGGCCGACGATCTCGCGGTCCATCATGGCGAGCGCCTGGATGTGGTGCCGGTGAACGGTGTCCAGCAGCGCTGCCTCGAGCGGGCTCGGCTCCGCCCGGGGCTGACGCCTCGGCGGCCCCTCCGTGCCGGCGGAAGGGATCGGAGGACGAGGCACCTTCACGATGCGGCGGGGCTCGACGCACACCGGGCCAAGGGTCACATAGTCGATGGTTTCGGGGGTCACTCCATATTTCTTTGTCAAATCCTCCATCACACGGCGATTCGCCGCCGCCAAATCGGGCGCCATTGCTGACGGAGGAGGGGAGAGACGGCGAGACTGATACCTAGGGTTTCCGAATTGAACTTTTGGGGGAACGAAAATTCCTTTTTCAGATATAAAAACCGAATAACCGCGTGGGGGTGGGGCGCTATAAGGCCTTGTACAATGGGAGGTGCTTAGAGAAATAAATCAGGCTTTTCTTAAGCACTGGTGCTTAGTTAACCGTCTCTTCTGTAGAAATAGGCACCGGTGCTTCAGAAAAACCTGGTTTATTTTTCTAAGCATCTCTCTAAGCACCTCCCACTCTATAAGGCCTAAGGATGGGAACTTTCGGGACATGGAGCCGGCCGAGTCACCCCATGACGACTAGTCCTTGCCATCTCCGCTCGACCCTATCGGCTCACCCAGGCCCCGGCCCTAAAATCCAGGGCCTAGGTTCGATGGGCTTGCTCGTGGGCTGGGCTTGGGCCTGAGTTTTAATCCCACCAGCAGGGCAATGGACGGGCTTGGGCTTGGCATATTGGCATTTTAAGGAAGAGGCCCGGCCCACGACTCTAAGCCTAAGGGCTTTTTACTAGATGGACTGGGCTTGGGCTTGAAAAGTAGGCCCGACGGTAGGGCCTGGAAGGGCCTGGGCCTCAGTTTTTTACCGTGGGCTTTTTTAGGCCCGGCCCCAAGCCCGCTCGGCCCATGGCCAGGTATACGACTAGCCCCATTCCCATCCTAGGATATGCTCAAAAGTATTTGCTTTCACGATCTAAAAAAAGGGCGGCTGATAGGCGCCGGTCGCCGCGCAGCCACAAGATTAGCGCATCCTTGACCGCCCAATTAGTGAGCTATCCCCTACACGCATTCCCTCCTTCCTCGCGTCAGATCCAGCGGTGTTTTGATCGTCACCCTGACCCCCTTGCGCCGCTTGCCAGCACACCGTCGCCGTCCCCTGACTCGTTGTTAAAGTATACCTTTTGTCCATATCACATGTAATAGGAAACTAGCACAATATCCCATCGAATATTGTAGTTTGATTCGGCTGATGATTTGCTTTGATTTACCTTGATTACCAAGGCATGTACTCCTATATGTTGTGAATACAAGGCAGCCCATGTGTGGCGTACAAAACACAAAAGATACTTGTTTTCTTGGTAACGGATAACTCGATCCGGCCTCCTCCAACCCCAATGCTCACCACCTCCGATCCAATCTCGCCTCCACCCCATGACGACCTTAGGCGTCGCATCGGCTACCAGCCCCAGCCTCACCTCCACCCTGCTCGCACCCATGAACTCCACCTCCGGCACCCTCGTCACCGCTGCTATGCCCGCGTCCGCCTCCTCGGATGTGCCCGTCACGCTCGACCTCCACGCCTCGAACTTCACCAAGTGACGGATGCTCGCCCGCGTCCTTCTCGGTAAGTATGACTTGCTCCCTCACGTCAACGTCGTCAACGTCACGGCAGACCACATGCCAGACTAGACTCACGATGACTACGTCGTTCGGTCCTGGCTCTACGGGTCCATCTCCGACAAAATCCTCGACATAATCATGGTGGAGGATCAAATGGCCCAGGAAGCATGGATGCTCATCACCAACCTTTTTTCTAGACAATCAGATGACTCGGGTTGTTTACCTTGAGGCAGAGTCTTGAGGTCTCGTCTAGGGTGACCTCTCCATCACAACCTACTATCATCGTCTCAAGGCACCCCTTCTCCGACCAAACTCTTGTCCTCAACTGCCTCCGTGGACTCAATCCATGCTTCTCCGACATCACGACGATTGCCACCATGCAGAATCCCCTTTTGTCGTTCAACCAAGACGAGGTCCTTGCTGACCCTCCACGGGACCCAGCTCGCGAACTCTATCGCGCTCAGGATCCAGACGGCTCTCTATGGTGGTGCGCCTCCCCATGGCGCCAGCGGCTCCACCCCCTCTGGTCCTTACCGCGGCGATGGTGCTCAGCATTGCAGCAACGACGCTCGGCACGGCTACAACTCCGGGGGTGGCTCCTCCGATGGAAACCGCAACAGCGGCAACTGGCGTAAGAAGAAGGGCGCCGGCGACGGGAACGGCGACAACAACGACCGCTCCAACTCCCACGATGGGAATTTCCAGCACAGGGCCTCCTCCTTTGTTGGTCCCTGGGTCTGCTTCAATCCCTATACGAGGCAGGTCCAGCACCTTCAGACGCCTCCAACAGCACGACCTATTGTTGTGTGATGCCCCGAGACCGATGTGCCAATTGTCTTCTGTTTATTCGCCAACGTTGCCATGTCATTCGCTTGCGTGTTGCACTTTGCCATGTCATCATGTGCATTTCATCTACATGTTTTTTCAAGACTTGCATCCGTTCATGGTTGCCGGGACTCCCAGTTCTCTCTGTTGTCCGTTCTGAGTCCTACCACACTCGCACGCGCCCGCGACACCTCCGAAATATTATTTTATAAGTGGGATAAAAATGTTCTCGGAATGGGTTGAAATTTGGAGTGTGTTCTTGTTATATTGTAGGTAGACCGCCTGCCAAATTTCGTAAAAATCATGGTAATCAATTTATGCATCATATGAATTTGTGCCCATGGTGTAAGTTGGAGTATGCCATGTCTACTACATGCCCATATCATTTCATAAAATGGTAAAATTGCTATGCTTGTTGCTATGTGCATGCCAAGTCAGCATCATGATGTTAATGTTTGTGTTCCCAGATTTTTGAATTCACGGTTGCATATTGTCTTGACGATTCCCATGAACTTGTTGCTCCTATCGATATGCCATGTTGCATTATTTGAGCTCCATGATATATACTAGCATGACATGCCATTTGATGCCATAGTATAGCACTGTAGCAACTTTGTTTCATGCCTCCAACATGCCATCATATTAACTCTGCTCATGCATGTGCCCAGTTTTTCAATAAGTCCTAATTTGTAACACAACATTGCATTTTGCATGGAGCATATTAAATTAACCAAGATGCTTATGAACCTGAAAAGGAAAGATGAATTTACGTATGTTATTTCTACTTTAATTGCATATCAATTTTGTTCCCATATGGTTCTTGTAGCATGTTGATTTGATGCTTGCTATGTGCATACTTGCTGTTTTGGGCAAATTGCGGTTTAAACTTGTCTTGTGTGTGTAACATCCCAAATTTCCAATTTGGAATGTTATACATAGATCATCATCGCATATCATATTTTATTGCATTTTGGCTTGATCTTAGAAATTTCACGCAACTCAAGGACCCATGGAGAGAGTTGGGAATTTCGTTATTTTCATATTTGAGTTTTTCTCAAATTTTGAAAATAGGATCGTTTGGTTTCATTTATTTCATCTTCAATTATTTCTATAATAAAAGTATGGAAGAGGGAATAAAATGACTTTCCCAAAATAAACAAATATTGAGGATTTGATAATAAAATAAAATAAAATTTTATTTTGGAGTTTATTGCTATTTTATTTGAATTTAGGAAAAATGCGTGTTTTTCAAAATTGCATTTAGGCCCCAGATAAATATTCATCTGGACTGGCTTGAGTTTAGAAGCCGGGGAAAATTTATTTTGGGATTTTTAGAGTCCGTTTAGTATTTCTTTTATTTGTTTTTCTGCGCGTAATGTTTTAAAAAAAACGAAACCGACTTTGGGCCGTGTTCGGCCAGGACTCCGCCTGGCTGGGCCTTTATAAGGCGCCGCCCGAGCCCACCCGAGCCTCAGCCCGCCCCGCACCAAACCCTAACCCTAGCCCCGCGCCGCCGCCGCCGCCCCGCCGCCGCCGTCCCGCCGACGACCTCGCCGGAGGTATCCACCGCCTCGTCGCCGGCGGTTTTCCTCGAGAAAACCATTCGGTTTTCCCGCCGGATTTTCGTTCGTTTTTTTTTAAAAAAACCTAGATCTGTTTTTTTTCGGTTTAGTTTATTTAGCGGACGTTCGTCCGTACGTTCGTTTTAACGAACCGTTTTTGTCGTTTAGCCGCAGATAGCGAACATTCGTTCGTTAGCCTGTTCGTCCGTTTTTCTTTTTCTCGGATTTTCCGCGATTATTTCTGATCACGATTTCCGATTTGTTTTTCGTTCTAGTATAACTTTTCGCTCGTTTATCGGAATCAGGCGATTCAAGCGCCTAGAGTTTTGTCTCGAAACCCTCTTTCTGATTAATTAACTCAAACAAGTTTTTGCTTCTGTAAAATTTGACTTAGATCCAGATTAGTAAATGAAGCTTGTTTCTTTCGCCGTTTGACTTTCGTTGCTTCATTTGATTTGATTCTTTTTGCAAACCGGAGTTCTTAAGTTAAACTTTCTGGTTAGATCTTTTATTTGAGTTTTACCCATGCATTAGATGAATACTTATTGTATGCTTGTTTGTTTGCGATAGAGTACCCGGAGTGCGCCGCTTGCTACTTCGAATCTCTAGGTTTCATGGATCATCAACAAGGCAAGTAGCACTTTGATCATACCTCTTTACTACCCAGTTTTTATTGCATTAGATCAATCCTCAAACAATTGCATGATTAGAATTTGATTAATATGTGAGTTTTGGGAAGTAGATGAGGTAGTACCTATTACATGTTTTATTATCAAACCCTTGGGAGTTACTTCTACGTTTGCTTATTGCCATGCTATGCAAGTAGACGTGGATTGGGTGAGTATATCCATGACAGATGTGAGATTGTTATTTAATGGTTTATTTAAGGTGGCAACTTTAATACACATTTGGGTGGATTGAGGCACCTGGGTATTCCAGTGATTGCCTGTTTTCTTTATGGACCGCCACCCAGGCTCAAAGGGATCATGGGATTATTCATGCTAGAAACTTCCGTGTGCAGGCACAAGCTACTATGGGCTCTAGCATAGTTGATTAAGTCGTGCGAACTCTTACAGTGGTAGACTAGCAGATGTAGGAGAAAGTAGGTGTAACTATCTACCCGATTGTAAGGTGCTAGCGCTTCTGAAAGACTATGTCTCGGTCATCCGTTTCTCAAACATCGTGTAGTGCAAGAAAACCAACGGCGGAGATCGAGTCTTGTGGAGAAAAGTGCGC